TTGTGTAGTACTTTATTCAGTCTTATATACTCTTTAGTAAGAACAAATCATCCCTTTAAATCCCATTTTAGAATGAGAAATTTCCAACTGTCTACAGATATCATTAATATGTTTTATTTCCAGGAGATGCTTTAAATCAATGTAAATTTTATGATTTCAGTATATTTTGATACAAGGATCCCAATCCTAAGAAGGGTAAGATTTTTCAAGACTAATTGTTACATCTAATAAAACGAAAACAAACTCCAATAGTCTGCTGTTATTGTGAAATAGCTATATATATTAACCACAAACTCCCATTCTTATCTACTTTTTTACATAAAATTCAAATTACAGATAAAAATGCTGATACTAGTAAAATAGATTTGAATGATGGTTACTTATTTTTATATTCATGTATTTAATTTTCTTTTTCTTTTGCAATGTAAGCCACTGTTAGAGTTAAAAAAGAATGGTGGCATAATTTTTTAATCATTCTAACAAAATAGAATTTATTTTTCAATGAAAATTACTAATTTCTACTTTCCCAGAAAATGCTTTTCATTTTTCTTACATTATTTCCTTGTGACAATAATCGGACATGACTAAATTTCCATGTACTAAAATCGATTTACTTACTGAATTTTTTTATTGTGCTAATAAAAGCACACATTTCTTCAGTGACATGTGCATCTTAAGTCTTTTCTTCCAGTTTCAGAGAATGTGTTTTGCTGAGTGTGATTCTAATATCTTTGCAACCTCCAACCCCTTAAACTTCCTTCCTGTCCATTTGGTTATACCCCCAGCAGTCTCAACGTGGCTATGCCTCGCCACTGCCAGACTCCATCCCCATCCTGGCCAAGTGCACGCTGACCAGAGAGGCACCTCTCCGGAGAGGCCCAAGGCTGGTGACCATGTGCCCAAGGTGCCAGTGGGTGACTGAGCAGAAACTGAGGCAGCTGGGCCAAATTGGCAGCCCCGGCAAGATCCTAGCTGGAAAATAGCGTCAAACCAGTGGACCATGACATTCCTTGCCACAATGACTAAACATCAAAGGAAAGATACCAGAAATATGAAAAATCAAGAAAGCATACCACCAAAGGGTAATAATGCTCATGCTCTAGATCCTATAGAACAAGAAGCCCTTGAAATGTCTGACAAGGAATGTCGAGTGATAATTCTAAGGAAACTAAATAAGATACAAGAAAACTCAGCTAGACAACAAAATGAAATGAGGAAAAGTATACAAGACCTGAAAGAAGAAATGTTCAAGGAAATCAATGCCCTGAAAAAGAATGTAGCAGAGCTTGCTGAGCTGAAGAATTCATTCAATGAAATAAAAAACACAACAGAGAGATTAACGAGCAGGCTAGCAAAAGCAGAAGAGAAAACTTCTGACCTTGAAGATGGGCTATTTGAAATAACACAGGCAAACAAACAAACAAAAAAAATTAAAAACACTGAAGGAAATCTGAGAGAGATATCAGACAACCTTAAGTGCTCAAATATCCAAGTCACGGGTATTCTAGAAGGGGAGGAAAAAGGAGATTGCTTTGAAAATATATTCAACAAAATAGTGGCAGAAAACTTCCAAGGTAGAGGAAAAGACACAGATCTTCAGATTCAGGAAGCTCAAAGATCCCCAAATGTATTCAACCCAAAAAAGGTCTTCTTCCAAAACATGTTATAGTCAAATTGGAAAACACAAAGACAAAGAGAGAATCTTAAAAGCTGCAAGAGAGAAGTGTCAAATCACCTATAAGGGAACCCCAATTAGACTAACATCAGACTTTTCATCACAAACCGTAAAAGCCAGAAAGGAATGGGATGATAGATTCAAAATACTAAAAGACAGAGATCGATAGGCAAGAATACTCTACCACACAAGGCTATCCTTCTGAAATGAAGGGCAAATAATATATCTCTCAGATGCGGGAGTTCACTACCACGTGACCACCCTTACAAGAAATCCTCAAGGGAGTACCGGGTTTGGGACCTGAGAAACAACTACCACTGCCATAAAACTCAAGAAAAATCAAAACCCACTCATAAAATAAAAATGCCAACAATGAAGAGGAAAAAAAATAAAGTTTACCTACAACCCAAAAAGCCAACAAATACAGAAAACAAACAGTAAATCAGAAAGAAAGGAACAAAAGACACATAAGACATCCAAACAAAAATCAATAAAATGCTAGTAGTAAATCAACACTTTTCAGTAACAACTCTGAATGTAAAAGGATTAAATTCTCCAGTCAAAAGACACAGACTTGCTGACTGGATTAAAAAGGAGGACCCAACTATATGCTGCCTTCAAGAGACCCA